ATAAAACACACAAGCCGAAGAAAACATGAAAAACAAACAAAAAAAACGGGTCGGTTGAGGTTCAACGAGCCGCGAGTCGGTTGGGCCGTGTGTACTTCCCGCTCCACCCGTCCAAGTCGCCTTCAGGCGGATGAGGGTGTTGTTCGAGGGGATCCAGGTTTCGATGACGCACCTCGGTTGGAGTGCTTCCAACTACCGAGCATATTGGGGGTGAAGTTCTACAACCTTGAGAACCGGAAGGAGAACGCAGTACCAGAGCAGAGTAACAACTTTGGGCGCAACAAACAATACACAATCATTGAGCAGCTTGGAAGCGGAACAGATAGAACATGCAGTGTTGAACCTGTCAATGAAACAGAGTCATCATGATGTAACTTTGCCTTTTGCCTGCAACCAGAGAATTAAAGGTTGCAGTACACTTTTATGGTGATTGGAAAGGTTTAAGGTGTTGGTAATTATTCAAGTGAGAGGCCTCTGGTTCCAAGGCAAAAGGACAACCTACTCTCTCTCTCTCTCTCTCTCTTGCGCTCTCTCTGTCTCTCTACATAAATATATATATATATACATATATATATATAAACATATACATGTATTCATTTACACATATGTGTGTTTGCTTTGGTGTCAAATATCAAGCAGCCAAGACAGAACTCAGACTTCAAGCGCGCGAAGCCTTTCGTTTTTGGGAAGGCGCAAGTCAGCCCACTCCGCGCCCTGCACGGTGCGCAGGCCGCCCCACTTCGTTAGCTCCGTGCCCGCCAGTGGACTCGTGCCGCTGGTGGGCCAGTTCTTCCATGCTTCTGCATCCTTGGCGCTTTCGAGGGTGGGTCAAATCCTTCCAGCTTTTCGGGTGGGGTTCTCCCATGAAAAACGGGGGATACACAACCACTATATAGCCATATAGGCGGGCTGTCCTCAGATCTGCTAAAAGTTTCGCTTTTGGTGGGTCAAACGGAAACCCAACTCATGGGGGCTGGGGGGGAGGGAGGGGGGGGAGGGAGCCCCCATAGCCCCAAATAAGGCCTTATTAGGGGCTATGAGGCCTTGTTTGGGCTCCCTCCCCCTCCCCTCCCTCCCCCCAGCCCCCATGATAATACTGGGGCCAGCAAAGGGTGATTTGGCACATGCTACTTGCAAGTCAGTGGGTGTAGAGGTGCCGAAACAAGTTTTGGACAGGACGTTGCCCATATTCCGGCCGTCCCTTCATTGGTTGGGATTGGCTGCGATGGCCTTTGTCATAGAGCCAGGTCTTCAAGTCCCCAAAGAATCCTTTCCACCAAGCAGTGAGGTGAAGATTGTCTGCAAGCATTTTGGAACGGTAACCTCGGAAAAAAAGTGACATCTGCGTCTGTTTTTGAGGGTATACCCATTTTTTGTGGGTTTAAAGGGATGCCCGAAGGACAATTCGCCATCTTTTGGAGTCCCCCAAAACATGACATTGCCACATTGGACCTGATCAGTTCCGCGCCAAGGGAGAAAAAGGCGATTCGGTTTCTCTCGGCTTTCTTTCCCAAGTCCTTTGCCCGGCGATGTGCCAAATGGCCGTGGCTCCAAAAACCGGCACCAAAATGGAACCCTGGTAAGTGGAAACATGGACCAAAACCTGCGCAACCCCTCCTGTCTATTTTTGTGACCCTTTGCTGGCCCCAAGCAGTAACTGGATGAATTTCTCACGACCTCACAGGACCGAATTCACCCCCAAATGGTGGTTGATGTTGGGAATAGCCCCCCAACAATTGTCCAAGTGTAATCAGCATGTACTTTAGGGATCCTGGTTTGACCTGCCGTAAGGCTAGGTCCTCCAGCAGGGAGGTTCGAATAAGGGCACCCACTGTTTTTTCTGTAGTCTATTTTAGGGAAACCCTCCCAACCACGAAAGAAACGGTAAAAGTTGGCACTGGGGGACCTAGAAGGTGCCCAATTCGAAGGACTACTCCCAAATCGAAACTTTGCATGTGCGTCGGACGCCTTCCTTACAGCTTCACAATGCGACTTCCCTAGCCAGTGGACGCCCCTGGTTTCAGAGCGCTGCCACACCGACCCTGCAAAACGCGTGCTACATGTATAGACACATAAATCAATAAATGAATTAATGAATAGTCAAAAGTAGTAAAACAAAACGAATATAGTAATAAAACATAACAATAATATACTGATGAACTACAAGCCCATGTATTCTAGCAGGGCTGAGCCCTCGACTCGACCGATTCGGCAGTTTTCACACACCGTGAACTGAACTCGGCATGAGCCCTATCAAGTCCAATGCACTGGACGGAAATCACACGGCGAATTCGTTTCTTTAGTTTTTCCGTTCCCAGAGGGTCCAAGTACCTTCTAAGGAGGTACTTAGACGCCTTTTTACCCCTCAAAAGCCATTCTCATGAGGTACTTGGACCCTCTGGGGTTGTTAAAATTGTTGCTTATGTTAGTAGTGACTCCTTTATCGTTATTAGGTGACCCACTTCATGGTCTTGACTGACTAATTTCGACCCACGCCTGACCGCTTCTTCACCTCAGATTTCCCCGGCAAGAAGGCTTACTGCGGATGGTTGAAATCGAAATCCATTTCGCGCCGTTCAGAAACCCAACGGAATTTCCCCCAACGTATCTGCCAAGAAGTGGCGGTTTCACTCCCATGGCTTCATTTTGTGTTCTCGGAGTTCGATGGAAACCATCCACGGTTACGAGCTCATGATATTCAGGTGAGATTTGGGATTCTTGAGAATTCTAAATTGCAGGATACGTTGTTTTAGTTAAAGCTTGATCTGATAACATGTGCACATGTGATGTATTGTGAACCATATCCTCAACCCTTCCATGCCGACCTGAGAATCCAAAGGACCAGGCGTTCAAGCATCGATCTGCAATCAGGTGGCTGGATTGGTGGGAGCTGGGGTTTGAACCCCAGCTCCCTTTGAGGCATTGGCCAAAGCGCCAAACCAAGCCAAACCAAAACCAAGCCAACACATCAGCTCGTGGGCCTCACAACTCAAATCCTTTGGCGACGACTCGTCCGCCACGGCTCGATGGCTTTGCTGCCCATCACAATGTCTGAGTGCCACAGCTGCTCGATGATTACAGCCTCAAGCGAGAAGAAACATACAATAGCATACAAAGCTCTCTCGAAAACGGTGTGGATATTAGTGGATCCACCCCTCTAGAATATTGAAAGAGTACCAAAACACTGCTAACAAAAACAACAACCGGAGTGGGAAACCAATGGGTGGCCAAACTAAAACCAACAGGAAACCTGCTGGATATCAACAGTCCACAACAAAAACACACCGGAAAACCAACAGGCAATCAACAGCAAACCAAAGGGTGTCCGACGGCAAACCTAAATGAAAACGACTGCAAACCTGAAGGAACACCACAAACATGACCAATACACATGGACAGGAGAGCAAGAGAAAAACAAAGTTGAACAACCATATTTTAAGCGCAAGAAAAGATAACAACAAAAGGTGCCCAAAAGCACATCAATACGAAACTTCAAGAGATAATATACTATATATATATGTATTATTTTATTTATTTATGTATATCGGGTCACTGGATTCAAAAGTTGATCAGTTTGCAGGTGAAGTCCAAGAACAACTGCCAGGTTGCACCAAACATGGCTTGGACATGACCGTATCAAGAGAATTTTTAGAGTCCAGGAAGCCTCAAGAGGGTCTCAGAGAACCTGTCTACCAAAACTCCTCAGCTCAGCTTTCCTCAAAAAGGAAAGCGTTGGGGCCCGGTGGTTTTGGGGCCCGGTGGTTTTGGGGGTTTGGGGGGTGGTTTCTAGGTTGAAATTAAAATCCAAACCACCAATCAAGAGTTACCAGAACTGTGGAGTGTGGGGGTCAACCAACCCCAGTTCCTCTTGAAGCCAAATCAAGGAGCGGAAGGCAATCAGTTGCCGGCCCAGAAACAGTGAAACAATGATTCTCACTTTGGGCTGACACCAAAGGGAACATCACCCCATGTAGGGGTCCAAGCTCAAAGAGACACACCCATGAAAACCAAGCAAACAGTTGACAGTCCAGAATAGACCAGAAAACCTCGGGGAGTGAGCACTAAAACAAGAGAACTCGGGGAGACTAGGAACCCTGCAACGCGAAAGCGGACTCGACTCCAGCTGGGCCGCATCTCCGCTGCCGTCGGGGCCATCATAGCGCCCGTTCCTCTGCACCGTCTCCCGCCGGTGGCGCCGCGCCACCACGTGGACCTCCGGGTCTCGACGCGAGCCGTCGAGACCCGAGACACGAAACGCGGCGGTGCCGGGCGCCGCGTCTTTTTGTTGGACTCACTGGCTGAGTGGATGGCCCAAAACAAACCCAAACTTTACATTTACCACTAAAATGGTCTTCCCAAAAAGCTTAAAGTTCATGAACTCAGGAAGTGAGTGGCGACAAGCACTTCGTGGTGGCTATAAGGTTCAGGAAATTGAAGGCATGACTTGGAACAAGAGAGAGTCAAGTCTTGAAGCATCCATTGGGATTGCTTTCGGGGTGCCGTGCTCCAGTGCTCCGTGGTTTCTTATGCGTCTGTGCTTTCTTGAGGCTTTCTGGGTTGGCTTTGCAGAGAAACCAAAGGAAAACCATCATTTTGGAGGGTCCCACTTGAAAAGAGACAGACCTATGTGTCAAAGTCGGGGGACTCCCAAAATGATTGGCTCTCCTCTTGGTTTCCCTTTCAACCCCCCAAAGAAGGGTACCCTGAAAGAAACACACATTGACTCACATGCAGGGAGAGTGTGGATGGCTTTCATCTGCTTGAGTCCGCTGGAACAAATGAGAGCAAATCTGTCTAGTGGTAGATTCCCAACAAAGACACAGAGAAAATGACCAAATTCTTCAGCAAATGGAAGAGATGGAACAACTCCTAGGGTCAAAGAGGATTGTGCAACCAACATCTTGGTGGGTATTGCCTACCCAAAGAGTTTCACTGTTTAGCCCTGCAATCCATTGCCCAAACCAAAGGGCCCCACTACAAACTATGGTTCTATGAAGAAGGCCGCCTCAATGCCTGCTGGTCGAATAATGGGAACGGTATCTTCCATTTGGTTAAGGCCCCAGGAAAAAAACATATTTCCAGTAGTGATGAATTCCTTTTAAAACCAACAAGGGAAAACACACAAAACAATATATATTCTTAAGCAAATGGAGGGTATGTTTTATGGTACACACCCCAGGGATACACGGGAGTGCTTGGACAACGCACAGGGTATGGCACCATCTTGGCCACTTGATGAGGCTTTGTGACGTTGGAGGGTACCTCTGGAATTAGGGTCCCGTTTTCAGGCTCGTGTAGACAAATGAAGAGCCTTACATCCAAGACGAAAAACAAAAAGAAAGCAACCAATGCGTGGTGTGCCTTGGGTCTCCCTGACTCACGCCCTGGCCTGGCCATTCTGGATCAGCAGTGAGGGGTTGATCAGGGTGGCCTCCTGTCGCTGGCCCTCGCGGTCCAGCAGATTCAAGCGCATGTCGATGGTGCCTGCGCTCGGAATAGGGTTTGGGTTTAGGGTTTAGGGGTTAGGGGTTAGGGGTTAGGGGTTAGGGGTTAGGGGTTAGGGGTTAGGGGTTAGGGGTTTGGGTTTAGTAAGGGCTTGGGGTTTGGGGTTTGGGGTTTAGGGTTTGGGGTTTAGGGTTTAGGGTTTCAGGGTTTAGGGGAAAAAAGCAACCGATGTCGCGCCCCAGGTGGATGCTTGAACTCGGAATCAATCCGTTCGCCCGCCCGCCCGGCTTCACCACGAAGATGGGCTCATGGTTGGAAACCGCGGTGTTGCTTTGGTGGTATTTACGCTGGGGAATCGAATCATTCCAGGCTTTCTTAGGTGGTGCGACATGGATGTTGTCCAACATCACACGAGGAAACTCACTTTGAACTGGCCCAAGAGGGAATACTCCAAGCCGGAGGTTGATCCGGATTCATAAACCGCTGATGAACAAAGAACCGTGTCCCATTTAATTCATTGAGAGGATCCTTCACTTGCCGGCAACACCTCCCCCAAACAATCCGAAAGGCTGGCTAATCTGGGGTCGGCATTGACCCGCGCCGGGTCCCCATAGCCATTTTGGCGAGGAGCGATGTGGCTGTGGGTCAAAAATACGTACCCAAAATGGAATCTGGTACATAAAAGCATGGACCAAAACCTGCGGTCCAATTCCTGGTGGTGACTAAATTTGATCCATACCCACGTGTCAAAACAAGAAGGAACATGCAAAGGCCTAGGTCAGGAAGCCAGGATCCTAGCAAGCAGGCAGGCAAGACAAAGGCAAACAATCCAACGACAGACCTGAACACAGAGGGAGGCACATGCAAGAAGGCAATAACTCGAAGAAGCAATGGCACAAACAAAACAAGCAAGCAAGCTAGCAAGCAACCAAACAAATAAACAAGCAAAGCAAAGGAAAGCAAGGCAAAAGCAAAGCAAGCACACAAACCAACTCACAACCAGGAATGGCAGGCAGGCAAGCAAGCAAGCAGCCAGCCAGGTCAAAAGGCAAACAAGCAAGCAAACACACCAACCAACAAACCGACACACACACACACGAATCAACGAGCAAACCAACAAGCCAAGCAAATCAAAGCAAAGCAAAGCAAAAAAAGAGAAGCATAAGCAATGCAAGGACACAAACCAACTCGCCAGGAAGGCAGGTCCGCGGGCATACGGGCAAGCAAGGAAAGAAGCAAACCAACGACTTAGTCAGCGAACAAACCACACGCGGCAACACTTGCACAAAGTTCAAGCTGCGGTTATCCAGCACGATCTGCGCCGGCACATCTGGCAGGCTGGTGTCGATGGAAGGATCCGGCAGGAAGCTGAATCCCACCTGGGACGGTCTGCCCGGAAAAGCAGATTTGATCTTTTGCACATGAATGTCCGAGTGTTTGTGGATGAGTGTGGAGAAGATATAAAATGGAAAAAAGGTCAAGATTACCTAGCCGGGAGAGAGGAAATGCGCGCATAATCGTCCAAGCGCCTATTACAAATCCAAGAGCTTAAGAGTCGTCAACGACGCCCTTAACTACTACCAAGCCTGAACAACTGCTGTGCACAGATCCACGTTTCTGTGGCCCCCGCATTTTGAGCCATTTGCATCAGCCCCCCTTTGAAACAAAAATGCCAACTCGAGTAGTGATAGATTCCCTTTAAATCCAACCGAGGAAAATCAAAACGGATCCTTAAGCTAAATGGCTTGGTGCTAAATATCCTAAATAAGCCATGGCCATTTGAAAGAAAAAAAATGCGTGTGTGCGTCCCGATTCTGGCAACCACTCCCCACCTTCTCCCGACGGAAGCGCGGCGCTTGGTGTTTTTTGGAGCCAAGGCGCCAGGGCCGTGGCCAGAATGAAGGGCACCACCAGGCGCGCCCGGGTGTGCGCGGCCCACCACTTCTGGATCGGCTGCTGAATGCACCTCGGACTGCCGAAGCCCAGGGGATTCAGGGGACCGGGACCCCAAACACACCGGGCCCCTTAAAAAAGACGAAAACATCGAACATTTTTAAGGAGGTGTGTTTGGACTTCTGTTACCACACCCAACACATCTGTCGGACCCCAAACACCCCAAACCCCAAACACAGCGGGACTCTTGGGAAAGACGAACACGTCGACCCTCTGCACCCCAACCAGGGGCACCCAAACACACCGGGCTTCTTGGGAAAGACAAACAAAACAATCCGCCATGTTTAAGGAGGTGTGGAAAGAGGGGGTGGTGTGTTCGGGGGGTCCAAGGAAAAATTATGTGATTCTGATTCCAAGAAAAACTCGTGGAAAGGAAAGTGCGGTAGAAACCACACCACGGGCAATGCAAGGGGCCATATAAATACACACTTCATTGTCGTATGATCATGACTAAATACGGCTTCGAGTACCCCACAGCCCCATTCTACAAAGAAGGCCGTTGCATTGCCTACAAAACAGCTCACCCTTTTCAAGTATAAGGGAGAGGAAGGTCGCAAACGCATTTTCGCGAGATTGCTATCATTTACCCGATCGATGTTTCGTCCGCGAAATTTGGGTGGGTCCCCTTGTCCTTCCGAAACTGACAGAAACTTAATATTTTGTCAGTCGCTCATCTGCTGTGGCATGCGCCGAACGGAAGAAATCCGAATTGCTCCACGCTAGACATGATGCCGCGGGCCTTGGTCTACCTCCATCTGACTAAGTCCACTCAACAATATACTGATCGATTCCTTCTCAAATCAACTGGGGAAAAGAACACTGTCCCTGAGCAGAAGGAAGTCTATCTTCAGTTGCTCGGAGCCAGCCAGCCTGGGTCGGGTAGATCCCTTGCTTGTTCGATCACAAGCAACACCGGCCCCATCTGACGGTTGGTCAAAGAGCACGCGGTTTCCGGCAGAACAGCTTTCTAAAACTCGGTAACGCCCTTGTCCTGCCATCCCCCCTTTCACAAGCAATGGAAACAATTCAAGGGCCGGCGGATCTGACCCAATGGATAACCCTGGCAAATCATGGCAGCAAAGTCCTGGGTGAGAAAGTGTGCATGTAATATCAATATTGGGTGCTCGCCACGAATCAAGAACGAAGATCAGTATTTCCATGATCCTCTCGGTATCTCTTCATTTATCCTTGTCCAATGTTGGCGTGCCCGTCCAAAACATAATCTTAAATGAAATCTTCAATTGGCCCACATCTGGGGTACACGGAAATTAAGATCCAAACTTGGCCCACATCTGGGTACACCAAACTAAGACCCATAAATATAAAGCTTTCAGACTCTGTAAGCATACAACCTGGTTTTGGTGGTTTTGCCCATGTCCCAGATCGCCTTGCAATGACGAAGGCGGAGGCATAGGTGAAGACCAGGAAGAAGAAGATGCTCACCTGGCCCGTCTGCGGCCACACAGCGTAGGTCAGGAATTGGAAGACATACACCGCGTAGGAGTAGTTCTCCTAGCGGCGTGTTTTAGGGACCCAGAACCTGAGCCCTGGGCCAAAGGTTGAGCTGTGCGGGCAAAAAGCGAGCATGTGATGGAGCTTTTCATTTGCTCAATGGGCAGTTCTCTCCAAATGCTGTGGCCCCCTCTTTTGGTGGGTGTTGTTGTTTTTTCCCTTCCGGAAACGCGACAGCAACCATTCCAGGGGGTTGATTTTGAGAAACAGAGGGAAACACAGATGGCTAAGTGCACCGCTTCTCGGATTCCTTAGGAATACCCCGACTGCGATTGGGTTCGGAGCCTTTGCACCTCGTTTTTGGGAGACTCCAAGGAGTAGGGCGGATTTCCCCGTCAAAGGTTGATCAGTTTACCGGTGGCTTCAACTTAAAACTGGCACTTTCGGCGGCTCCAAGAAGGGAAATGGGGGAAACCCTGGCATGGCTCGTTTTTCCGGCGGTTTCAACTTGAAACGGGCGCATTCCCAGAAGTTCGTCGTCTGAATGCGACCCCTTTTGATTCCCCAAGGAAAATCCATGTGCCATCAGGTCACCTCCCTGAACAGTAGCATGGACTCAGAAACTCAATGAAAGAGCCTCCTGTTGGAATCGGAGCCCCTAGATAGGTTCCATGTCAACTTAGGGGAAAGCCGCACAAAACACCTTTCGGTCTGCGTGGAAAATCCGACCTCAAATTGGACAAGCCCGGGTGGGTACGGCTGAACATGGTACCTGCTCCAAATCTTTGGTTCTTTTTGTTGGCCCAACAGCCCAAGTGACATGAAAAGACTCCCCGCCCTTGAACTTGGTACCCCAAATCTGGTTTTCTCTTTGGCCCACCCGCCCACCTCGAAACACAAAACACCCCCCCAAACCCCCCTTGCTCCACCTGAAAAAAATCAAAAAGTCCAGTAGTGATAGGGTCGCTTTAAAGCCAGCAAGGGGAAAAACAACAAACACATTTCAGCAAATGGATGTCCAGGAAGTCAAACTGGGAGAAGGCATAGGAGAAGAAGGGCAGCGGCAGGCTGGGCAAACCCGCCAGGCCAAAGAGGATCATCGCCTGGAACGGCAGCAGCACCTCGCACAAACAAAAGAGCCAGAGGCACCCGCTCAGCTCACTTCCTGGTTCATACTGTGGATGGACGAAATCCCTATAGGCACCACCTAAGAAACCCTGGTTTATGATGATTCCCCTGTAACTACCAACAAACAATGGTGTCCCATGGTTGCTTAGGTGGTGCAGGATTTCGTCCATCCACAGTAGTTCAAAAAAAATTACCCGACCTGTTGAGTTTACCGCTAGCATGGTCCAACCCCAAAAGTTTCAAGTCCTAAGTGAGATAGTCGAACACTTACTGGTTCCCCCACAAAAACATGGGCGAATCAGCGACTCCCCTGGCGGGAAGATTTAAGCGCGATCCCATGTCCATCTCAATCATTGGCAATCAACAGGCGATACTGAAACAACCAGCCAAGTGAAATAGTGTGGATGGACGAAATCCTGCACCACTGACATGATGATTTTCCCAGGAAAAAAACCGACAAACAATGGTTTCAACCCTGGGTTTCAGTGGTGCGATTGGATTTCGTCCATCCACAGTATGAGGACCCCTTCTACCCAGCTTCAGACATGTACCGGACATAGGCCCTTCAGTCGGCTTTTGTTTTGAACGCGGCGTACTTGTCTGTTTCCTACTATGACCCCAAGTCCTGAGCGGTGCCTATGCCGATTTTCATAAATGCTTAACTACCCTCACATCTAATAAATTTGCCAGGCATGATGAATGTTGACTTCAACCGAGCCTCTTCCAAAGTGCCGCGCTCACTGACAAAGCCAAACATTGGCTTACGAGGATATCGACGTCCCAAAAAGCGCTGCTCCCTTGTGCTTCCCCGTCGCGAAGGCCGATAGTCCAAGGGCAAAGTTGGTTCATAGACCAGAGGCACGCACCTTTTGCTTTTCTCCTCGCACAGCATGTTCCAACAGATTCTTGAGTTTGCCACATACGTTTTCCAACTCTTTGCCGATAAAATGGATCTTCCCAAAGACTGGCCGGAAACTCAGGGAGAGAGATCTCCTGGCATAATCAAAAAGCAAGGTTACAGTATAGTATAATCCAGAAAAAGGCCAGGCAGAAGAAAACTTGTAAAGCTTGGAGAACGCTGGAAGTGAAAAATGTCTGCATCGTCTTCCCTTGGTTTCCATGTAAATCCCAACCCCCAAACCATGGCGTCTGAGTGGAAAAAACCCAGCGATTTTGCCCGCCGGCCGCTCACCAAGGCGCCGAAACCCGGGCCGAGAGCTTGTAGCCCCATGCCTTGGCATTGAACTCCTGGCGTATCGCTCGGCGAGGCCGTCCCAAACTCCACGTGCGGGTGGTTTCGCCGCGGGAGGGAATGAAAAAAAAGCTCCGAGTGCGGGTGGTTTCGCTGCGATAGTAAAAAACAACATAAAAACGAGTTTGGGTGGTTGGAGATGAAATGAAGAGCAGTGTGGAAGCGAAGCCGTGCCTTAGAGGAAATGGTTAGGGGGCATTCCCTCCAGACTGTGGATGGATCCTACAAACCGCTCGGATTTGGTGGTTTATCCCGTACGGCTTCCTTCAAAACAGTTGGTCGGTAGTTGGCTGGTAGTTGGTAGGTAGTTGGTACGTGCCATGAGCCAAAATGGTCGGGGCCCAGAACCATGTAAAGAATCAACGCGGCAGCTGCACCCATTTCTGGTTGAGATGTTCTCTTACTAAACCTTCATCTACCCGGGTTTTGATTGTGGCTCAGTTGGTAGGTGGTTTATCCCGTGACTCATCCGTCCCAACTGCTGCGAAGCGGATCTTCTACCAAAGGAATCCCTGCGCCGATTTCCCACGGAAGGGCCACCGAGAAAAATCGTCTGTGATTCAAATCGAGTCATGATCTCAGAACAGCCTGAGTCTAGAAACAAACACCGAGAAGGTAAACAGAAACAGAAAACAAAAGCTGACCCCTATTGCTTGTGAACTTGTGAACTGCATAGGAGGCCCGATTGTGGAAGCAGTTGGTGTGCCAAAGGTGTTCACACGTTACGACGCTTGTCGCTGTTTTTGCGAGCCCCGCGACCATCCGACGCGCGACGGGCTGGGGGGCGCTGCTCCATTGGCCGGAGAAGGACAAAAAACAAAATCCCCCAGATCAGGTTGACCCATTCCCTGGCGTCCCCTGAAACGATCCAGATTTCCACTGGAGGCTCCAAAAAAAAAGGACAAAAGGCGCCGGAACCCGGGATGTCACACATCGATCACTTCCTGGCAAGGTTTCAGGACCTTGTCTCATGGCTGTCGCTCGATACACCGGGTCCCCGGGTCCCGGATTTGGTGGCATCGAGCTCCAAAAACTCGGAACCACACCTTCTGACACGTCTCGACGCGGAAAAACAACTGAAAAACTGGCTGCGGGTTGCGGGTCGAACCTCAGATGCCCAGTGGATTTCCATGGGGCAAGAAGAATCGGCATCCTTTTTGGGTTGGTTGAGTTTAAAGGAACCACTAGGTCCTCCAGTAGAGAGGTTAGAATAAGGGTCCCCTTTTTCTGCAGTCTAATTTAGTAGGGGAACCCTCCCCAAAAAAAGAAACGGCCAAAGGGCACCAATTGTTGGGGCACCTAGAATCGGAACCCTTCCCCAAAAAGTGGGAAAATCGGCGGAAATCCAGCGGTTGCAGCGGAAATCCAGCGGTCCTGGACACTGAAGACCAGGAACAGCGCCAGGTAGCCCAGCGGCGCCACGAACTGCAAGCCCACGTTGAAGGGGTTCCTAAGGACCCAGTGGGGTCTAAGACATGACTCGATCGCTTTTCTGGGAACCAAGCAGCTGGCTCCGGCGTGTACTCCGGGATGAACCGAGACACCGAACTAAATTCAGCTGTGGAATAGAACCAAAGTGGTAGTGTTGCATATAATTCGGTTGGACGGGACTGCCACAAAGTCCATGGGATCGCTTCTAGGAACCAACGACCCTCTGGCTGGTAGGAAGCCCTAGTGTGGATGGACGAAGTCCATTTCGCACCACCTAAGAAGCAAACCCTGGAATGATTCGATTCCCCAACGTAAATGTTAACCATTGATGATTTTAATTATGGGTTTCAAAGTGGTGCGAACGGAGTTCGTCCATCCACAGCATGGGAGAAACCACCAAATCCGGTAACCATGGCCATCGGGGTCCCAAGACTTGTTTGATCGCAGGAGTCAACCAGCTACCTACTGGCTAATCTGGCTTGTAGGAAACTCCTATGGGAGAAACCAGAAAAAATCAAGTGGTAACCAGCTTGTTCGGTACGGAACATGCCACAAGGTCCATAGGCAGGGGGTTCTTCCGATTCGCATGGGCAGCGCTCACCTCCAAACTGGTTGGGATTCTTTTGGCTCGATAGGGGTTATTGACCCCGAAACTGGGCTGCGCAAACTGATCCCCCGCTAGAAGTGACTAACTTTTAATGGGTTAAATGCACAAGCATTCTAGAAATCGTTTTGGATGCGCCTTTTGTGGATTTCACCTGTTCTTCCCCCTGTTGGCCTTTTTTTGTACTCTTTTAATTAACCTTCTACAGGGGTGGAACCACAAAAGCCACATCCAAACCGTTTTCTAGAAGCACCAAAAAGCTACAAAGCTAAAAGGCGAAGGAACCGGATGAATCGCTGGGAGCCACCAAGGAAACAAGCCATCCATCCGAGTTGTCGGTGTCCTGTCGCGCACTTTGAAACGCGCGAAAAAACACTTCCCAACACCCGGAAGTTTTGGCGTTGCCATTCCCGCCGCAAGTTCTTTTGATTGAGTTGTCAACGCGAGTTTCTGAAACTTGTGGTTTCCCCTCAGCCCACCGAACGGGGTGAGTTTGATCAAATAGTCTAAATAGTAGCTCAGTCAGGACCCACGTGACTGTACCTCCCGCAAAACCTGACCAAGAGCCAACTCACGTTTTGGCCGAGGTGATTTCCAACTAGGCTGGGAACAAAAGGAGAACCCTCTGCTTCGAGCATGCGTTGGTATGGCATGTGACCCATGGCTCTGCGAGTGCACTCATAGTTCATCCTCGCTCATGGCAGGGTCTGACCCCCCATTTGGCTTGAACCCACCTGGCAAAAATACGCAAAGAACCTTGAGTGGCTCTACACCCTCCGGCTGGAGTCCAACAAGATCTCGGGCATCCATGAGGAGTTTCCCTGCTGCATAAGCCAACTGCCTCGTCTTTGATGCAGGGGCACAAGGGAGCCCCCCGGTTTTCTGGGTCTGGTTTGTTTACTTGCTTTTTTTTGGGGGGCACCCACAGCACCTGCAAGAAGGGCGTGGTTCAGATCCCGGATCCCAGATCCCCGGATCTGGCCATGTGGCCCCTATTGAAGGGAAACCCAAAGGACGCCATACGCCAGCTGTTTGGAGGCATATGTTGCATTGGGTCATTGGGTCATGGTTCCCTTACAATTGGAGTCATTTTCACCGCTACTGTGGATGGACGAAATCCATTTCGCACCATCTAAGAAGCCCTGGCATGAGTTGATTCCCCTGTAAATGCCAACAAACGTTGTGGTTTCCCGCAGTTTCAAAGACTTCCAGATGCTTATGCCCCGTGGAAAAATAACATATGTCCAGTAGTGAAATCGATTCGCTGTAAAGCCAGCAACTTTTTCTTTGTTTTACATGTTCATTTCAGCAAATGGATGAAGAGGTGCGAAGGGATTTTGCAACCATCCACAGTAAGGATCCTTAAGTGGACGGCCATGCCTCTTCACCTCGAGGAAAGGAACCTTCTTTTGACCATCACGTGCTGTTGACCGCTCTAGGCTACCTTCCCCATTGCAGGGATCGAATCTTTCTAGAAACCTGCGGAAACCCATGGAAAACCGCTGGTTGTTGAAAAGAACGATGGTTGAGCAGAATGATTGGAATCAACCTCTATAGACAAAGGGGTGCAGTGGATTTCTTTGGAAACAACCGTAACCAAGCCACGGGATTCTCAAAATTAGAACCTTTGTTGGATGCTTGAACCGGATACCGAAAACAAACCAACCTCGCAGAACAAAAAACCATTTGTGAGACGTGTTTCTCTCCGGGTTTCGCCAATCCAACTCCCCCCACCGACTCGAAACCGCCCGAAACCCGAAACCCGAAACCCAAAACCCGAAACCCGAAACCCGAAAGAACGACAAAGCAGGGCTGCGGGAAATAAAATCCACTTGATACAACAAAAAAGGCCTGCCAAAGACTACCCCCCCCGGAAAACACAGAAGTGGTTGCATAAACCCCGAGTGATCCACCACAACCCTGCGACCAAGGCGCCGCCAGGAGAAGCATCCGTGCGGCGAGGAGGCAGCATAGCAATCCAGCAGCTGCCGCAACTTGGCCAGGAGCATGCCCAGGATGAAGACCTCGAGCTCGCCAGCTGAGCCATGGTCAAAACCGATCGGTAGTAAAATGGTCGGGACCCAAATTCATATAAGGAAATCAAAAGGCGGCTTGGGCACATATACCCATATGTCCGTTTTTTTTTTTTTTAAGCAGCACTCAATCACCTTTCTGGCCAATTTCAGGTGGGCTTTCCTTGGTGGGGGGTGATGTTTTAGGGGAAATATAGGGACCCTGGTGTAGGCTATTCGCCAGCTGAGCCATGATCAAAACCGATCGGTAGTAAAATGGTCGGGACCCAAATCCATGTAAGGTTGTTTTTTTGTTTTTTTAAAGCGGCCGCAGCTATTTCCGGCTGGGACTGCCCCTTACTAATCTTCATCTACCCGGGTTTTAATTGTGGCTCAGAAACATCTTTGGCGAGAAACAAATGGGGTTCACTGGTTTAGATTGGCATCATTGTTCATTTACCAGGGAAACCCATCTATTTGTCCACAAAGTCAGCCATACTGTGGATTGTTGTGAAATCCATCCAATGTAACGCACGGCAGTTCAGACATCCTGGTTTGTGATGATATGATTCGATTTCCCGGTAAACACCAACAAACAATGGTTTCAACCACGGTTTCAAAGTGGTGCAGGATTTCAGTAGGTGACCTTTCGGACAAATGGATGTCCCTGGTCAATGACATAAAACCAATCTAAACCAGTGCCATCTGTTTCTAACCAAGCTAACCTAAACCGCTGTTCGGATTCGCTTTCCTTTTCGAAGCGGCGGCCTTTGGAGACCTTCAAAGGTCAAAAGGTCGATTTTGCTTTGGGCAACTGAGTCTGGTTGATCCCATTCTTGGTTCCCTCAAGTTCCAGGATTTGTCGTAAAAAGGAGAAAAAAGCCAAAAGGAGCTAATGTTGTACTGGGCTGCCCTCAGATCCCCCGATCTAAAAGTGAATAACTTTTAGTGGCTTTAAAAGGCTAAAAGGCGAAGCGTACATTCTCACAGGCTAACTGTTAGTGGGCTAAAAGGCTGGGAGCCACCAAGTGTACATTCTCACGCACCTAGGGATCCGAGACCAAGCAACCGCTTCAAGCAAAACGTCTAAAAACCGAAAAATCTTCACGGCAACATCTACAAACAATTAGCCAACTCCAAATCCAAACGGATTGGGTGAACTTCCTGTGAAAGTTCTTGTGGCTGGTTTCGAACTTCCTCTGCTTCGAAACGGCCTCTGGTTATAAAGTGCATCCCTTTCTTAGTTCATCCGCTCATCCCTTTCTCACTTCCCGCGTGCATGGCCTCAAACAAGCCTCAACTTGTGGTATACCGGTACAGAAAAAACCTCACTATTGATGGTTTCCGTGTTGAAAATAATTCCAATAAAAGGGATATCCTCAAAAAAACAACATGCAATTAGAACCCCATTTTGATGTTTAAGATTGGGGGAGACTAAAATGGTCCAAACAGTATCAAGTCCAGCATGGGCAGTGAGAAGTTCCTTTGCTTCTTTGGTTCATCCTTGTGGCTTCTTTCGATCCTGGCCTTTAGCCGCACATGTGGTTTCATGGGATTTGACAGCTAGATATATCCTGGAGCCCCAAAAGGCATTTTTTTTGCTGGCCGAAAGGAATACGGGCTTCGAGGCGTTCAATATATTACTTGAACTCATAAGGCTTCCTTTACGGGCAACTACTGCAAATCACTAAACGCGCAGCGGTTCAGGGCTGCTGGATGTTCACAGCCCGAGTCAAGTAATGTTGACCCAGGATTATTAAACCCGTCCCAGTATTCGGGGGGTGTTCCCTCCAACAGTGGTCTGAATCCAACGACTAAAAGGGGACACCCCCCCGATCAAAATCAACCAGGGGTTCTGCTTAATCCGGGGTTAACAGTACTGCCTTGCTATACCTGGATACGAGCACGGCTGTCCTTTAGCCTAAAGCTTTCAGAGCTGTGGTTGAAATGGAATCCACCAATCTGTGATACACCAAAAAGGGCTTCCCAAAGACCAACTCCCCACATAAAGGGGGAGATTCCCACAAGTATCACAGAAGTAGTTGGATAAACCCCGAGTGATCCACCACAACCCTGGGCCAAAGCTTTCAGGCACCATCTTCCCTGATCCAACGCCGGGAGCCTCTGGTTGCCGACTTGCCGTGCTTTAATTCTCCTTGCGCAACACCAACCATACCTCTCAAACCCAACTTCCCTTCGGCCAGCCGAGGCACGTGGAAATAGCAAAGAGGGTGGTACTTCAGCATGATCACCCCAATGTTCAGGAAGGTGTCAGTGGCGTAGAAGTCATGCTCCTACGCAACTGGTGGCGGTGACAGCTGTCCGACATCAAGACGCCAGCCACGACGAAATTATCGCGGACAGCGCTGTGATCATGTGCGACTTCTACGAGCTTGCCTCTTCTTTTTGTTTGGGGAGGGGCGGGGGGGCAACATGCCAGCCCTGGAATGGCGGTCAGTGTGTGTATGTGTGTGGCAGCCGACCGGCTCAACTAATATTTTTCGAGCTGCAGGGTGTCGCTATTGAATGGGACCAAACTCAGACCCAGACAGTCTGACAGTCTGACCCACCTGATATGATCTGCAATATTGGGATTGATGACTTGGGAAAGCCATGTGTTCAGCTAACAACTTCGGCCCATATCAGGGTCCGACTTTCTGGCGAAATTGGGCTGGCCCGTTTGAGACACGTGTGCGCACCCAACAACAAAAACATACACGCGAAAGGGCGATCTCAAGCTCACTTTTGTCTTGGGCATTGGTTTGTGGAGCCATGGAATTCAGGTATTCGACCTGAAGCTTTCAAACAACGGCCACGTCTCACCCCAAAATAAATATTAATATCGAATGTTCATTTGTGAGCTCGTTTTAACTTGCCATAAACTCGGCAGAAAGTTGGCTCTTATGGTTTGCGACCTTTTGCTCTGCTCACCGCAGAAGGAAGATAGTTATTTCATGAAGCAATATGAAGCACTGAGCAGCATGCATTATCCAAAGCAGGCTCTGTTTGATACTCCGTTTGATATGGGCGACAAGTGCGGCCGAGAAATCATAGTTCGTAACGATCAATCACGCTCGATCAACGCCCAAGGCCAAGACATTCATGAGACAAATCAGGCCGTGAGCAATGTGCGAGGCGATGTTTGCCGAAGGGGCAAGCACAAGCAATAACCAACCTTTGCATGACGTGCAAAAGTGAACATTCGTTTCCCTTTGGTTGAAAGGACATCAGCCAATTGAAGGCGTCCTTGATTGTGAGAAAGACCCACGTGCATCTTGAGTCCCTTGAACATCATGGTGGGGATTCCTGTGCACCACTCAAGCCCCTTCCGAAGCTGGTACTAAAGTGGCCTACCCAAAGCTACATGAAACATGCAACCGCATGTACCCCCCGAAAAAAAACTCAGTTGTTCAGTGACCCTGGGAAAAGCAGGGAACCCTTTTTGGGGCTTGGACCCCATTTTTGGTGGGCCCGCCCAAAAAAAAAGAGGGAAAAAGAGACTCGGTGCCACTGAACAACTGAGAAAAAAAATCAAACAAAGCAACACGGAGATGGGGTCCCTTTCCGATTCCTGGCTTCAAGCCCGGGCAGCCTTGTACCAGTCCACGGGCTCTGAGGCGAAGACGGGGATGAGGATCAGCAGCCACGGCAGGAAGAAGAAGAAACCCATCAGAAGGAAGGTGCCCCTAGGCCGAGGATTGAATTCGTCCAAAGCCATGGCCGTTTTTTTGAGTGATCCGGTGGATCAAAAGCTCCGAGAAAAAGAAAAAGAAGAAAGATCGCCGTTTTGGAAAGACATGACACAATCGATACTTCCAACCAAATGAGACAAGTTACCCATAATCCCCACGAGTCTGCCTCGGGATCTTTGAGTTGAATATCCCAAATTATCCCAAAGGACCAAGACACAAAAGGTGAATCGTTTCGAATCGCCTTTGCTTGGTTGGTGTTTGACCCCTCTGCAAAAAGCTTTTGCAGATTTAATGGAAAACCCCTTGATTTCCCAAAAGTTGAAGTCTAGAAATCCAACCCAATAGCAATCAAGGTTGGGCAAACGAGTCAGTGCTCAAAGACAAATTCGGTTGCAAACAATTCATTGAAACCGGCCTGTTCAACGCATGGGGGGTGGCGCATCCCTTGTGAATTGCTTTGAGAGTTGAGCGCAACAACGCAGAAGGCTCGGGGGCAGAACGGGCAATTGGTTGCTGTCTCTTTGTGTGCCGTGGTCCTCAAAAGCTCAAGGGCTAAAGGCACAGAGTTTTCGATGTCTCTGTTGCCCCCGGAAGAGATGACTTGTCTGGCTGTCCTCAGATCCCCCGCAAAAAGTTTAACTTTTTGTGGTTTAAATGGAAATCCCCACTAAACACTAAAAAGCTAAAAGGCGAAGGGGATGGCTGGGAGCCATGAAGGAAAGAGATGACTGGTCACCTGCGCATGTGGGGTTTCCCAAAAGTGTGTTGTGTCCTGAGGCTGTTGAGTTGGCCCTCGGGTCGAGACCCTTGGGGGAAGCCAGAAGTCGAGCAGCAGAAGGTTCAGGTACCTGAACAAGCAGGCGAAGGGCTTGAAGAAGAACCAGTACACCACCATGCAGCCTCACAGACATGCCAGAGAGCAGTGGGTCAACGAATCGATGGTTTGGCAGGCTGAGAGAATAAAAACAAACGCCGCCCAAAATCCCCCCCCAAAAAAGACGAACGCATGTCGCCTGCCAACAAGGGCCTAGCCTCGCAAAATTGATGCAAATTTGACTGGTCTCTGGCCCTGGTTCAACCCCAAACCCCCCCAGGCCCCGCCCTTCCCTGCCAGTTCCCCCCCCGAGTCCCCCTGGGAACCCCGGCTCGGCCACAGGCAAAAGGAAGCCGAAACCCTTATGGCATCCAAGTCCGTCCAGCTCCCTTGCTTCGTGCTCCAGGTCTGAATTTTGCTTTTGTTTCCCTTTTTTCCTGATGCCAGGTGGATTTCCAGAAGGAAAAAAAGAATTGATCATCATCCGTTCTTTTCGGTCGGTGGAGTTTGAAGGGAACCCTTCTCAAAAAACAAAAGGAAAGACGGGCAGTCACCCGGCAACTGGGTACCGCCGCACAGATTTTGCCATGTTGATGCCATTTTGTTTGCCCAGGACTCAACAGCAAAATGGAAGCCACACGAGTTGGGGGCCAGGTGAGGTTAACTGGAGCAATTTACCCTCAAAGAGGTCTACGGTTGTCCTGCCCCACATGACCATGGGTCAAAGCTCCGTACCCTCAGTGAACACCCCACTACAATAGACTAAAATGGGTGGTGCACCTACCCTAAAATGGTACCATTGGTTTTGACCCACAAACAGCCACATAGACAAACCGATCCGACGCCAATTGTGACCTGGTCATTGCTGGGAGAAATTCTTGGGATGTCTCTTCATGTTTCCTTCGCCCAGTTCGGACCCAGCAATACACGGTTCACCTGCTGGGACCTTTGCAAAAAGTGGTTGCCAAAATGGGAGGACCAAAAGCTCGGCAAAGGCTGCAGCTCCAAACCTGGAATCCCCAAAAATGGCACCTTGGTGAATGGCAATGACTCAAAACCAGCGGCTTGCCAGCTCTTTCCTTTTAAGTGCCCAAAAGGTCGGCTCAGGTTGCCCTGAAACCGCCGGATGAAACCGGGTTTGGCCGCCCCAACCTGTCTCTTCCGGAAGGGCCCCCAGGTCGCCAATCAGGGCCTGGACCCGGTCGGGGCCCAAAGAAGCTGAGAATGTGGTGTGCAGGTCCTCCAGTAGAGGGCTTAGAATCAGGCGACCGTTTCTTTTTTCAGTCTATTTTCGTAGGGGAACCCTCCCAACCCAAAAAGGGGTGAGAAAGGGCGTTGGCCTCTCCTGAAAAAGCACCCTTTGAAACTCAATCGCTGGTTGCTGTACTGTTAACTGGGATCCCAACTGAGTGGGTTCCTCTGGGTTCCTCTTTTCAACTCCCCCAAAAAAAGCACCCTCAAAAATATGAGCCATGCCAAGCCTGGTTTTGACCAAACCCCAAGCCGCGCGTGCCTCGAAGAAGACAATGCACACAAGAAGCGAGCGAGCGCGGGGGTCGGAACAAACAACACAGCAGCACATCAAAGCTTCGCCTGGAATTGATGGTCTTTGTTTTAACCAAACAAAACAACAACACAACACCATCCAAAGCAGGAAAGAGCTGAACATCTTGGAATTGGGCAAGGCCAATTCCAATCATACCCCTTTTTGTTGGTCGTTGGTGTTGGGAAATCATGGCCAAACCAAGAAAAACCAGAAGCAAGGCACTGACTGACGTGGGTCTGTCTTTTTTGTTGGGTCTACCCGCTTTGGAGGGCTTTGAGGGAAACCAAAAAGGAAAGCCGTTGCGCCATGTTGGGGGAAGTCCGATTCCTACAAAAAGACGAGCCACCCATGTATTCTTCCCACCCCCTCTTCGGATTCGAAGCCCTGCGGAATCCGAGTGGCTCAGGAACCAGCAGTGCATCTGCAGGGCGTTCTCCGTGAAGTGGGGCACCCAGGCCTACCCAACACACCAGACCGCTTCAAAACAAAATGCAACCAATCCCATTTCCACCCCCCCCCCCCTTGGTTGTTTAAGGGCATGTTCACCGCTTCCCAGTTTGGAGCAGTCCCACCGACCAGATCTTGAACATGACCCACTCAGGAACCTCGGTTGCTTTCTGCTCCCCTGCTAAAAGTTTAACTTTTAGTGGTTTACTGGAAAGCCCATTAGTTGGCAAACAGTTATGAAGTCCTAACATCCAAGCAACATGCATTAAAGGAATCTTTGATGGAACACGAGACCATGGCACTTGTGCGCAAAACTCGGCCGGACGAAAATCCGCCGAGCCCTCCCAACTTATCCCGCCTGCATCAGGAAACTTTGGGCCAGAAGCGTGGGCCACTCCGCCTGCATGGTGCCGTAGACCTTGCCCAGAATGAAGGCCTCACAGCGCCAAAGGAAAAACAAATACGGCGGACACGACAGGGGCGTGTGCTGCGCATCCTTCAAATTCTTGGAGTTGAGGGGTTTGGCCCATTTTCTGTGGCCTGACAAAACTAGCCTTGGGGTTGAGGGAGGGGTTCCAAGAGAGGGAAAAGCAGTTGGCCGTGCCATTTGGAACCTTGGCCGGGAAGCGGAAGTTTGAAGGCCTCCGTCAAAAAGTAACCGGTCCGCAAAGGCTTGGCCCAAAAGTGGGTGACTCGCTTTTGGCTTCTCTTGTTTCTATCTTGATTGACGTTGGAAGGGGAAGCAGAAATTCAATTTTTAGCGGTCAAGTGGTTGGATTTCAACCACTAAACCACAATAAGCAAAAATGCAAAATGTTTCCCAACAATAACCATGCTATGGCGAATGCGGTTTTTCCGTTGCACAAATGCCATGGGGCCATGGTCTCGTGTTCCATCAAAGGTTCCTGAGTGGCTCATGTTCAAGATCTGGCCAGTGGGACTGCTTAAAAACTGGGAAGCGGTGAACATCTGTAGTGAAGCGATTGGATTCGTTGTTTGTGTAGAACCTCCCATACTCATCGCGATGAGTCTGAACAGGAAAGGCTTGCTTCCAGTTGCTTAAGCCCCCTGTATTAAAAAAAAAAAAACATATATACAAACATACATTTCCGGTTGTGATAGATTCCCTTTTAAAACCAGCAAGGGAAAATACAAAATGTTCTTAAGCCAATGGATGAGGACATTCCCAACTCTCAGGAAGCAGTGTGCGGCAATGCCGGCACCGCGTCTTTCCCACTTTCTTCAGGCCGTCAAATGGTTGGCTTGCCCAATTCGGTGTGTCACTTGCATATGGGTTTGCCTCAAACGTAGGGGACCCATACTAGTGTGTTCATGTCCTGTCGGTTTCCTTTTCTAGGTCCTCCAGTAGAGAGGTTAGAATAAGGGTACCGTTTCTTTTTTCCGTAGTCTATTTTAGTAGGGGAACCCTCCCAACCAAAAAAGGGGGACCTAGTTTTGAAACCAAGCAAAAAGGGGGTTCCCAAAATGAAGACGCACTCACTCCTTTGCTTTCTGCTCCGCTAAAAGTTTAACTAGCTGTCGGTGGTTTAATGGGAAATCCATGAGTTGGCAAAAAGTTGTTCAGTCATAACATCCCTTGGCAAAACGCACCAAAACTCAAACAATACGGGGCCAAATTGCCAACCCGAAGCCGCTGACATACAACGAGACGGAGCGTGGATACGGGGCGCAGGGATCAAAGAGAAGGCGTACAGCGGGTAGATAGTGGTGCTGCGTCGCAGGACGTACCTGAATTGAAAGAACATGCCACGATCCTTTTGCATGTTCCAAGCATAGGTGACCTTTTGGTAAAATTGATGTCCCTGGTAAATGAAATCAAATCCATCTAAACCAGTGCCATCCATTTCTGTTGAAACTAACCTAAGAAGGACACCTAATCCAAGAGTCCCAACATGCACTTGGGGGGGTGTCATTTTCACATTCCCGACTAAGAATGACAAGTTGTTTTGTGAGGGCTCAGCAATAAACCCAAGCTAGACACAAATATGAAGAGGTTGAGCTCGGTCGCGGATGTGCAAAAACAAGCCAAAGCTCTTGCAGAGCTGTTCCCCCTGCCATTCAGCTCCCGTCCACGGGGAAAGCTTCCGAATGTCCCATGCATCTCTCCGAACTTCAAGAAACACGAAAGTAGCTGCAAACAAACCATTTGGACGGTGGCCATTGTACTCAGAAGGCACGGACCAAATATCAGAAAACAATCTCTGTCTTCTGCACTGATAGCATTCAAAATTTTGCGTATACCCATGTAGAGTAGTACAATGGGCAAATGTGGACCAACTTTGATTGTTTGACGGACTGAGGATCAAGTCTTGACCTGAAACCACATACGTATGATTGGATGTGTCTCTGTCGTTTCCCTTTGAAATCCCACGAAGCATGGGTCCCAACTCCGAAGAAAGACGAGCCGCCTGCTTCAGGTTTCCCGTTCAGAGATCGAACCGCACCGAAAGCGTGGGCCCTGCGTCTGTTTTTCCCGGCGGCAACCCCGCCCGCCCCGGGCGCTGGATCATGGTCTCCTCCTTGGGGTTCTTCAGATAGGCGCTGAAGAGCACGAAGCCGGAGAGCATAAAGAACCAGGGCACCCAGGTGAAGCCCCAGCCAAAGAAGTAGATCGGATCCTAACTTGGCAATTCAAACGCAAAAAATGGGCTTTTGCCCAGTTTCTGGAAAACAAAGGGCACCCCGAAGCCAAACACAAATACAAGGGGAGCTAATTCTGGGGAAGCTAAGGGATCCCAGGTGGCTCGCTCTCGACTCAAGGTCTCAACAAACTTTGCTGCTCAACGCGGATGGATCCTAAGTGGCGTTCTGAAGGTCTCAACGAAATTGGCTGGTGAACGGATGGCTTTTCTCAGGGTCAGTCCAACTCATTCCCTGAGAGCCAGCAACAATTGGAGGATTCTGCAATATTCTGCACCAAAGCATGGTGAAAGTAGAGCGAAATTCTGGTTCGAACAGGAAGTGGCTTGGAGTCAAAATAGGAAAATCGGCCTCACAGAATGGTGGCGTTCCGGTGTTCCTGTTGGTTTAATTCAGTTGGTCTCAAAATAAGGATTCGATGGCGGTGAAGAAGTAGATTGGATCCTGGTTCAAGTGGATTGGTATCAAAATAGGACTATAGGCAGGATCAAAGTACTGTGGATGGTTGCATAATCCGCTTCGCGCCATGAAATACAACCACGGTTGAAACACTCACCTTTGTTCGACTTTAGGAATTGTTCGGTTGGGGAATCGGAAAAAAAAGAAAAACACAAAAAAACAAAAAAAAAAAAAACAAAAAAAAAAACAAAAAAAAACAAAAAAAAACAAAAAAAAACACAAAAAAACACATTCCGTGGGTTTCTGAACGGTGCGAACGGATTTCGTCCACAGATACTCGGCCCCACAGAATGGCAGTTGGCTTCCGTTGGCTTAGCCGCAAGATTCTGGGCGTGCCCGAGCCTCGGCAAAACGGCCCCCCATTTTAGTCGTAAGCAAAAAACCCGGCGGATTAAAATGGTCGTAGTATCCCAGAACCCTCAAACTACCCATAAAAATGGGATATCACCCCCAAAATTATGGGGTGATATCCCATTTTTAAGGGAATTTTGAGGGTTCAGGTACCCAGAACCATGTAAAGAATTCAGAAGCCGGAGATATCCGCCTGGCTATTTATGGCAAGGGGATTGTCCCTTACTCACCTTCCAATCCCCGAATCGGTGTTGAGCACGTGGCTCACTTTTCGCTGCTCGGATGCAGTGGAAGGTACCCTCCCACCAATTCGCATGGAACCATTCGACGTTCGAAGGTCCCTGTATGTCCCTTTACTTCCATCTGCTTAAGCCCCCTGGAAAACTAAAAATATGTCCAGTCGTGATAGATTCCCTTTAAAACCGGCAAGGGAAAAAGATGTTCATTTCAGCAAAAGGATGTTTGAAAGAACAAATTGTCCAAACCAGGACCCCCAAACATCAGGCTCCATGTTAATTGGAGGGTAACCCCTGCGGGGAATATCCACAAAACTAACCTCTGCGGTTCACCAGGTCAGACCTGCCGAGCCAAGGATCCGTGACGCCCTTTGCGAACAAGTGCCCCACCACCACGTGGGTGGAGCCCATGAACCTCAGAAAGTCTTCGATCTTTTCTTGGTTGACGTTGGAAGGGGAGCAACAAATTGATTTTTTTAGGCAGTTCAGTGGATTTGGATTTCAACCACTAAACCACAATAAGCAAACATGTAAAATAAAAAAAATGGTTCTCAACAACAACCATGTTTTCCGTGCCTTTTGGTACAGTGACCCAGGCCCCTGATATCCTTTTGGATGTCTTTTTGCGCTAGGGGTTCAGAGACGCAAAGCAAATGAGAAGTCGAGTGAAGATCGCAAGCCTCAAATGCTTGGGTGGCACAATAGCATGTCTAGGGTTTGATTCCTTTTCCATTCTTTTCAACCATCGTTCTTTCCAAAAACCGGATCCGTTTTGCCTGGGTTTCTGGGGGTTTTCTAGAAAGATTCGGATCGCTGGAAAGAATGGGGACAGTACCCCTAGAATGTGTTGATTCTTCCCAAAGCAAGACTTCCTGAGAGGGATTCTGGTGATCTGTGAGCTGTATGCAACCTAGCTCAAGCAATCGCTCAACACCTGTTCGCTTCCTGGGAAACATTGCGAGCCTTTCAAGCAAGCCTTTTTGCTGGCCCTGCTTCTCACCAGGCCATCCCTTTTTCCTTGGGAAGGGGGGGCGTTTTGAAAAGGGAGCGGGGAGACACCTGTGGACAGCTTCATACTGTGGATGGACGAAATCCATTTCGCACCCTCAGAAACCCTGGCATGATTCGATTCCCCTGTAAAAACCAACAACCGCTATGATTTCCGATAGCTCCAAAGTGGTGCGAACGGATTTCGTCCATCCACATCAGACCCGAGCGATGTGACGTGACAACTCGGGGTTTGAAGGAGCTACGGCTGGCCATCAGACCCGGCGACAACTTTGGCCCTCCAATGCCAAACCGATCACGAAAAACGGATGCGCTCGGCCCTGGAAAAGAAGGGAACCCTCTTTTTGGCTTGGGCCATTTGTGGTGCAGCCACCCAAAAAAAGTTGGAAAAAGAAAAATAATTGGTGCCAAAAATAATTGGTGCCACTCGACAACTGCGTCGCAATCAAAACCTGGTACTGAAATGGTCTAACCCAGAACCATGTACAGGATTAAGAAGCCGGAACTCCGCAGCTATTTATGGCAAGGGGATCGTCCCTGACTCACCTTCATCTACCCGAATCGGTTTTGAGGACGTGGCTCAACTGAGTTGAGGCCACCCTGGTGAGAGAAAACCCCCGCCGCGGCATGGCGCGAAATCAATCCTTTTGGCTCCGAGTCCTAAAGATGAGCCACAGGTGGCCTGAGCTGGCAAAATAGACTTCCATTTGCTCAAGTCCCCAGGAAAAACTGAAAATATGTCCAGTAGTGATAGATTCCCTTTGACATCAACAGGGGAAACAACAAAAAATCTTAAGCTGGTTCGATTGGTAGGGAATCAGGGAATGAACCGTTTTGGGATTCCCGGAAAAGAAGCCGTACGGCATGGTCTAGTTTGGGTCATTCCAGTTCTCATTCCCTGCCTATCGCACCAGCAAGATAAAACACCTCCGAACCAGTGGAACCCATCGATTTGTTTCACCGAACTGGCGAAACCCGAGCAAAAGGACACAAAAAGGCGCAAAAGTTCGCCACCCATTCGCTGTTCTTGCATTTGCTTTAACGCCCCCTGGAGAAACACAAATATGAGAAAGTATTTCCAGGAGTGAACTCGATTCCCTTTAAGACCAAGAAGAGAAAACACATATATTTGCAACTGGAAGGTTTCCCTCAAACAACCGGCAGCTCCGGAAAGAAAAAAAAAGTAGAGCCAATGGCAAGCCTGTGCATTTCGGTCCAACCCGGGGCGACCCGTCTGGGGCCAACCCGGCCGAGAAGCCGTGCCAGGCCAAGGGGATACTTATTCCCCGCCGCCCGGAGCTTGATCTGCTGGTTCTCCTAGCGACACATCCACGGCGCTGTGGGCCACGTGTTTCGTTTCTTTTTTTGCGGACTGCGGAGCTCGGCGAACACGAGATGGTGTGTGTTTTGCCTGGGGAAGTGGAAAAACAAACTTGGGGGACCCCCAAAAAGAAACACATATCGAAAAGGGGCGCGAATTCTGGACCGAAAAGCCAACGGGAAGCCCAAAATCCAGTGGGGTAGCCTTGCAGAAATCGCGGAAGGGGGGAAACTCGGGTTAAAGGGAAACTAAAAGGAACACCGAAATCCAGTCTTGGGGTCCAGTTCCCTATTTTGCCACACACACACACACACACGCGCTCACACCTACCCATGGCAGGAATGGACAATCATGGATATAATTACCGCGCCTTGGGAGGGTGCAGCGGTGCAGATGTCCAATTTCCGAGTCAAGCCAAGCAACAAAGAACAAAGATTGCAAGCCCTGAGACCCTGAGGCCCTGAGAGTCCCTACCCTCCAAATGACCCCCGTTTTGGCCCGTTAGCCCCTGCACGGACCCCTCGCCATAAGAGTCGGCTTGCCATAGGCACCTCAATCATCAAGCCAAGGTGTCTGGGCCAAAAAGTGCCACTCCCCTACATCTCGCCTTCATTAGACTTTCATAGGCGAGAGATAGGGATGGTAGGATATAGGGTAAGAGGTAAAGATGGAGGGAGAGAATCCCAAAAGCGGACCCTAAATAAGGAACCTTCATCATAATGTTGAGCTTGTTTCATCCGCGAATCGGTGATCTCCACATGCATTCAAATGGGCATGGTATTTTAACTTTGTTGCAATGGTTTTCAGGGAAACTTGCAGGAACGCCACTTTTGAGAGTGCCCTTTTTGGCCGTTTTGTTTAAAGGAGGAGCACCACCCCTCATCTTGGAGGTCCCCGCAGTTTGCTCCATGCGCAAAAGCTTGCTTCTACTTCCGCCTCTCCTTGGACTCCGCTCGTGTCTCAAGCATCACATTCTCGGCGGGCCCCATCACGACTGCCGCCACGACCGGGGCCGGGGCCGCCGCCGCCACGACCGGGGCCGCCTTGCTGATCTCGTTGGCCTGCAAAACACATGTTCTTACACCCGGGCTGTCCTCAGATCCCCCGCTATAAAAGTGACTCACTCTTAGTGGGTTAAATGCAAATCCCCACTAAACGCTAAAAGGCCAAAACGCTAAGGAACCGGATGGCTGGGAGCCCCCAAGATACTGAAACACCGACATACCCTCTTGTTGCGCCGTTTCTTTTCTACCCGAACTTGGCTCAATGTTCTGTCCCGGCTTGGCTTACGCAGGTTTCATTTTAGTCGTTTCCATAAGAAGGACCGCCATAGTTGGGGAGTCCATTTTCTGAGCCACGCCATCCTCAGCTTCGCGTTTTTTGTGTTCGAGTATTTTTTATGTTTTTTTTCGAGCCACACAATCCCCAGCTTCGCCCTTTTTTTCTCTTTCCCGAGGTAAGCCAACTTGGGGTTTCCTGTCCAGGGCCATACCTCCGGGCTTCCGCTGCTTCGAGATGCGTCCAGCCTCAGAGATGGGCTTCACGGGCTCGTTGTTCTCCGCCTCGGACTTCGCCTCAGACTTCAGCGTGGCCTCAGCTTCCCACAGCAGAGCTCGAGGGTGCCAACTCCTTTTCTGGGTCCTCCAGTGGAGAGCTGGTAATAAGTTGGTACCCTATGTTTTTTGTCTTCTTGTTTTTTTCTGTAGTAGGGGAACCGAATCTCCCAACCAAAAAAGGGGTGAGAAAGGGCACTACTGGGGAAGCTACCAATATTCTAGTTCAAGGGGATTGGGGATTCGGGTCCTTTGGCACAATCTCACCCTGGGTTGATCAAAACGGTACCTTATGATGTAAGGAGCCCGAAAAAAAAAATGGCGGGTCATTTGGCACCTCACGTATTCAGTGAACCCAGAGAGGGTTTCTGGTTTCTGGATTTGTGAACTTCAGATTGAACGGGCTCAGAAACTAAGGTGGGCCGGAGAGGTCCTATCCGAAGAGGAGAAAGCTGCCTCTCAGAGCTACAAGCGAGCTCGCGCAACTCCTGCGAGTTGCTTCACACGCCGTTGACCAGTTGTGTTTCTTTGCCTCAGATGGGTGTGGGTCAAAATCAAACCGCTAGGGGACCATAGGTTTTAGTCTTTGGTTCCATTTACGGTTCCATTTTGGTTACCTATTTTTGATCCACAGC